GAGAGGTGAGACTGGCTGATGGGTCATTCTCTACCATAGCTGGTCAAGCAACCATCTCCCTTCCTCTCAAAGTTACCCTCTCTAATGTGTTACATGTTCCAAAATTGTCTATCAATTTACTTTCCATTAGCAGTATTACTCACTCTTTGAACTGTTTAGTAACTTTCTTCCCTTCTTCTTGTGTGTTTCATGATTTGACCTCAAGGAGGATGATTGGTAGAGGAAGCATGGTGGGTGGTCTCTATGTGTTGAAGAATAAAGCTGGTCTTGTTTCCAAAGTAAATTAAGTCTTTGTCAATTAAAGAGTTACAGTGTCATACATGTCAATTGAGTAAACACTATAGAAGTTCTTTTCCTTTAAGAAATAAAAGATCTGAGTTTCCTTTTCATATTGTCTATTCTGATGTTTGGGGCTTTGTTACTCTACCTTCTGAGACTAGATATAAGTATTTCATTACTTTGATTGATGACTACTCTAGATATACTTCGATTTACCCTATGCGATCTAGAGATGAAGTGCCAAAGATTGTGAAAGATTTTCAGTGCATGTCTTTTACTCAATTCCAGACTAAGATTCATATTTTCCAGTCAGACAACGCAAAGCAGTACTTTCATAATGATCTCACGGAGTTCTTTGCTTCATGTGGAGCTCTTCATTGAAGTTCTTGTGCTAAGACACCTCAACAAAATGGTTTTGCTGAGAGGAAAAACCATCTTCTTGAAGTTGCTCATGGATTACTACTCCATATGCATGTTTCGAAACGCTTCTGGATGGATGCCGTTTAGGTGTGCTGCATATATTATCAATCGTGTACCATCTCGATTGCTAGAGTATAAGGCCCCACATCAACTGTTGTTTCCTAAGGATCTGTTGTCCCCTATTTCAATGCGTCTTTGGAAGTCGTTGCTTTGTTCATGACTTGTCCCCTATTTCACGCAAGTGCTATGTCCCCATGGATGTATCCTTTGAGAGTCAACTTTTTTTTTTTGGCTTCTCCTCAAGGGGAGAGTAAGGTGAAGGAGAAACACATCCAGGTTCAATTACCTTCTCTTCCTAATCCTCCTTCATTTTGTGTCTTCTTTCACCACCACAAGAGCCAACAGAGTTCAAGAGTTGTGGAACTTGACACTATGCGGCCAACATCATCAAACTCTCCAGAGGCAGATCCCCATCATCCAGGTACACTTGTTCCCATTGATATGCCTGATCCACTTGATATTGATCCTCCTATTATTGATGATCTTAATATTCCTCTTGCTAAGAGAAAGGGTGTTAGATCTTGTACAACTAATCATCTTAATATTCCTCTTGCTAAGAAAAAGGGTGTTAGATCTTGTACCTTATGATCATATCTCACCTTCATACCGTGTGTTTCTTTCCTCCATTGACATTATTCCTATTCCTAAGAATGTGGCAGAAGCTTTATCCATACCTGAATGGACAGATGCAATGAAGGAAGAAATTAATGCCTTGCACAAAAATGGCACCTGGGAGTTGGTGGATCTTCCTGAAAGAAAAGAACCAGCGAGATATAAGTGGGTGTTCACAGTGAAGCATAAGCTTGATGGTACAATAGAAAGGTACAAAGCCAAGTTGGTGGAAAAAGAGTTTACAAAGGTGTATGGAATAGACTATGCAGAGACCTTTGCTCTAGTAACTAAGATGAACTCTATCAGAACCCTCCTTTCACTAGCAACTAATCTTGACTGGGAACTTCACCAATTGGATATTAAAAATGCATTCTTGAATGGTAACCTAGAGGAGGAGGTGTACATGACTCGGCCTCCAAGTTTTTGTGCCAAAGGTAGTGAGGAAAAGGTGTGCAGATTAAAAAAAAAAAATCATTATATGGGTTGAAACAATCACCATGGGCCTGGTTTAGTAAGTTTCACATAGTTGTACAACAAATGGGGTTCAAACAATTCCAATCAGACCATACTTTGTTTGCGAAGAAAGGCGAAGGGAAAATTGTAGCTCTAATCGTGTACGTTGATGACATAGTAGTCATAGGAGAATGGAAGACTGACATACAGAAGTTGAAGAAATTCTTAGCCACTCAGTTCAAAGTGAAAGATCTAGGCCCCTTACGTTATTTCCTTGGGATTGAAGTTGCTCGCTTTCAAAAGGCATCTTTATATCTCAAAGGAAATACGTACTGGATCTTTTAGAGAACACAGGAAAGTTAGGAGTGAAGCTAATTGGTTCTCCCATTGAACCTAATTATCGATTGGGTGACAGCCAAGGGGAGGCTATGAAAGATGTGAAGAAGTTCTAAAGACTTGTAGGGAGACTCTTATATTTGTCTATGACCAAATCTGACTTTGCCTATGCAATGGGTGTCCTTAGTCAGTTCATGCATAATCCTAAGACTTCACACTTTGAAGCTTTAGAAAGGATCCTTAGATACCTCAAGAAGTCCCTAGGGGCCAGTTTGTTGTTCCAGAAACATGGGCATTTGAAAGTTGAAGTGTATACAGATGCTCGTTGAGTAGGAGCAGTCAATGACAAAAAGTCTACCAATGGGTATTGTACCTTTGTGGAGGAAACTTAGTTACTTGGAGAAGTAAGAAACAAAGTGTGGTGGCTAGGTCCAATGCTAAAGTAGAATACAAAGCTGTCTCATTGAGTTGCTGAAATCATGTGGATAAAGAACCTATTAGGTGAACTGCGCTTTTCAGTTAACAGCCCCATGTCACTCTATTGTGACCATAAAGTTGCTATCAACATTGCCACAAACCCAATCCTCCATGATAGGACAAAACATATTGAAGTGGACAAGCATTTTATTAGGGAAAAACTTGTGAATGGAGAAATATGCACTCCCTATGTTAGTTTAGAAGAACAAATTGTAGATATTTTCACCAAGGGTCTTCATCCTGTGCGGCAAAATGATTTGTGTGACAAATCGGGCATGATTGACATCTATGTCCCAACTTGAGGGGGAGTGTTGAAATAGCTTAGTTTATTCTAGTTATTTTGTTCAGTTTATTTTTCTCTTGTTCTATTTATAATAACTTAGTTTTTTATTCTATTTATGTACTATAAGTGCCACAGGGGCATAAGAGTCTTTTCCCCGTCTTTTAAGTGTCACCCTATATAATATAATGTATTTTGGTGCCGCCAGAACAAATTTGACTCCCAAACACTTTCTCTTCTCTTCTCCCTTCTCTCTTCTCTTCTTCTTCCTTATTTCTTTTGTATTTTTATGCTAATACATGTGATAAATATATTAGGGATATTTCAAATGTCCTTGATAAATTAAACATCAAAGAACAAAACTTTTACAATATTTTATCTAATTTAAATCATTGGAAATTTTGGAAATTTTCCTGAAAGAACATCAAGTTCACACTAATATGAGGCTCCATACTGTTCCAAAGACATGTCATGATCTGTGCATTCTCTTGTATCCAGTCATTATACCCTGCAGCTCATGGGTTTGGCTTATTTTCTTTAATATATTTCAGTTAGCCTCTAGCAGTCAAATTTACTTCAACAGATTTTGCCCATGATACATAATTTGTACCATTGAGTTTGACTGAAGTCATCTGGACAACCATGAAATCTTGTTGTACCATTGCACTTGTTTTGGTTTCACTGCTAGAAGCTGCTATGAATCACAGACAAGCTATTTCAGTAACTCACTCCCTAGTCCAGCACATTCCAAGGTCAAAGGGGTGCTCAGTCGATTCAGTTATTAATCCGGGAACACCAACAGCCTAGCCACAACCTTTATAGAAGAGAAAAACACCAAGAAAGCCCTTCTAAAAACCGACCTCACCATATTAATTAAAAACACAAAAAAAACAGATCACAAGGTTGTCTCGTCCCACCATTCACAGAAAGGAGTCCACAACTCACAAAAAAAAATCAGCCGCTTGCACCATTCACACACAGTCCCTCCTCGAACTGCCAAATAGAGGGAGTCTAGAACACCAAAAACTCAACACATGATGCTTCTTGAGGCATGGAAGCCTTCTATCCCTCTAGGCAATCAGTCCTTTTCGTTTCTTTTTCTCCCTTCCAACTTCTATCAACTGTAATCTTCAGTCGAACCTATTCCAGGCGTCCTTTCACGGTTCCAGTCAAACAGGTCGATCAACCTGGCTCTAATTCCATGTGGTCAGGCCTGTATTTTGAGAAATAAACAAATAGAAATCCTGGTATCCTCTTAACTCTTATCTCTTAAGAGGAATCTTTTAACTTTAAGAGAAAAATGGTTGTTCATTTCCTCTTATCTCTTATCTCTTAAAGTGCAATTATACAACATTTTGTTTTCCAATGATGCCCCCAAAAAGACAAACAATAACTCATATATGGGGTCAAAATGGATATTTGATCATTTTCAGAATTCAGAATTCAGAACAACATTCTCTGCATTCGGAGTTTAGAGGAAAAAAAAGTTCACCAATACCAATATACCTCTTAATGTAATTATTGCACTTTCAGATGTCAGACTTCAGAGCAAATGAACAGGCCCTAAGAGAATAGGGCTTCAGACTCTCTCAATCGAGAGACACAAGACACAATTGCCACCCATATTAGATTATATTCATAAAAGAATAAAATTACACAAATACCACTGACTATATGACTTAAGAACAGAGATAATAAAAACCATAATTAAGAGAAGGGAAAATACTAAAATAACCCTGCACAAACACTTTAATTTAACATATTGTGATCCTGAAATTAATCACAACACTCAATTGTAGTATTTGGACGTGTTTTAATGAGGTTTAGGAGCATGTATCTGCAGTTGGTGTTCGTATGATCTCAAAGGACCTGAGTGTGGTGTTCAGTGCCCAAAGTTCTCTCTGCATAGGTGACTTTATCCCAAGGGATAGTAGAAAGTATCATATCTTTCCTTCCATATATCTTCACATTTATACTTGATGGACTTTTTGATTACTTATAAAGAATTAGCAAAGAAAACTCTGCAACATAAAGAAGAAAAGAAAGAGAATGAAAGTATGCAAAGAAGCAAGATATATTTGACCTGTATACTTGATACAACTCGAGCAAGAGCTTTCACCATACCCTCCACAACATTGGTGTTCTTAGGGTCCCTACAATTCAAATAAGTAAAATGGTAAGTACAAACATGATGAAACTGCATTGTTGATGAGAAAGAAAAAAAGTGAAACTAAACTAGATGATAAGGGCTAAAATATGACACTGATACATGTCATAACAATCATCTTCCTCACAGTTTAGATGAAAAACCCAAGATGCTGCATACAAAGCATTACTCTTACAGACGCACTGTTGTGAATCTTGTGATAGTATCAAAGTCTTTGGGCCTTAGCCCACCTTGGGCTGTCAACCTCACAAATCTTTTTTTAGGGTTAGTTTACATATATATACCCTGTATATTTAGGAAACTACTTAGATATACCCTGAACTTTCAAAACCTTCTTATATATACCTTGTTGACCGGCCCCACATAACATATATAGGACCACCATTAATGGACCATTTAGAACTGTTAGTAACTTGCTCTAAATGTTTTTATAATGCCAATCTTGCCCTTATAAATAAAAACCAAAACCCAGAAATCTTTGTGTAAATCAAACCCTAAACAGGGGAACAAGAAAAGCACCAAAAATAAATTCAGGAAAAAAACCTAAAAAAAAAGATCTAAACAAGTTTTATTCTCCAAGTGGTAAAGGCCTTTATTCATGAAAATGTGCAAGTAGTAGACCAAACTAGTTGGAGACTTGTGAAGGCCACCCATTTTCGCTGCAATATAAGCAGTGGTCGTTCTCAGATGACATAGTCATCTTAGATGGCTTTCCCAAACCACATAAGCCCTGCTTTCTAGATTTGGGGAAACAAAAGGATTTGGACATGGCCACTGTCTATGTTTCAGGTTGAGAGAGACTCATTCACTACCATTTGAGTAGTGAGATTTTTTATATGGAGGCAAAGGGGGATTAAGTTTGAGAAATATTTTAAGAGATGTTTCTGTGACTACAGGTAATAGGCAAAGACCAAATTTTAGCATTGTTTATTAAAACATAAAAGAAAGAAAAAGAAAAAAAGCAAAAATTAAGAAATGTCAATGTCATACACAAAGAGGAAGGCAGGAGTCCCTCAATCGTTCTCACAGTCACAGGTGCTTCAGTAGAAGCATCCTCTTTCTCTCATATCCCCCTTCTCTCTCTCTTCTTCTTTTCCTCCTCCTCCTTTGGTTCCTGTCACCGCCAAGCTAGCAGCAGTGGTTCCTTTCCCTCAGTCTCCTCCCTCTCATTCTCCCCTCTTTCTCTTTCTCATTCTCTCTCCACCCCCATCAGTTTCTAACTTTGAAAAAAGAAAAAGAAAGAAAGAAAATGGTTTATTTTGAAAATTTAATAAACATCAAAGGGCATTTTTGTCTTTTATATTTTATCAGATAGATTTAACCTTTGAAAAGTCAACAAGGTGTGTATAAGTAGGTTTTGAAAGTTCAGGGTACATTTAAGTAGTTTCCTAAATATACAGGGTATATAAGTAAATATTAGGAACAATCAAGGAAATTTTAGTCATAATATAGCTGTAGTATATCCCATTCGTGTACACAAATCTTGTTCCACCATTTTTACATTGTTGATTGATAATAAAAGAAATAATTGGACCAAGTAGCAATCCATAAACGTGATATCACACTCAAATATATATATAAACCAGTATATAAATTCTGTCAAACCTTTCTACAGTTCTGCTATACCTTTTAATTAAAAAACAGAAAAGAGTATATCTAGAATATAACGATGAGCTAGCACCCTTAATTGGAACTAACAACAAAAAAAAGTCATTAGCTATCATCTCCACAAGGCAATACAATTGTATCCAATAATCTAGAACCAAACTCTGCCCTATCAACTTCTTTAAGCACGGTAAGAACCATAACCCAATCAACAACTAGATTTCCAATGTCCACACAAATCTTTTCACAGATTTTTCATTTGTCCTCAAACAGGATTCTGCATCTTTCCTTCCTGTATCCCAACATATTGCACAGAATTTAAAAAAAAAAAAATTATGTCATTCCTCATCCCTTGAAGCTTTGACCATTGAGCAAAAAATTGTTCTCGACTTTGTAACTGTGGAACTTGAAATCCAAACAAAAAAGTGAAAAAGAACCATAATTTCATTGCTACCTTGCAATGGATAAGTGTGTCAATGTTTCTTCATTGCTGCAGCATAAATAGCATAGACCAGTCAAATGGTCAGCTGTTAGAATGCTATCTAATGGAATCAGCCAAGCAAAAACATCCACTTATTTGGAGGGACAGGAATAACCCAGACCCCATTAATCTCCACTTGATTCCTAATAATTGCATTTTAGAAGGATTTAACCGAAACACACCCATTCTGCACTCCTTCCACCATCTAATATCCCCTTCCATTACTGATATACTTTCTGCTTCAATCTTACTTAATAACATAATGCACTCCTCTACCTCTCTCTCCCTCTCTCTCCAATAAAAGTCCCGCCAGTTCATTATTTCTTCCAGATGGGGATTTCAATTTCACTTAAGGTTATCTTTATTGTTTTCATCACTTTGTTATCTTAAACTTTAAAGGACAGAAGAAAAGAAATGGAGACTGACAAGAGCTTAGCTTAGATTGTAGTGGGAGAAGGATGAGAAGAGTGACTTTTACTGAGGAAGGCGATTGAAAAAGGACAAAAAAGGTCAAGGGTTTAACTTTTTCCACTTGATGTAATAATTAAGATTGAAGTTCCTTGCCTGTCCTATTTTACCCATTGTTATAAAGGTGGTGAGGGAAGGCAGAGCCAAACCACCTTGCCTCAGCTGCCTTATAGTTGTTACCAGAAGCTTACATATCAAATTTTATGAGGTGTACACAGTACACCTCATCTAGACAGAACCAAATAGAAAAAGAAAAGTAAAAACTAATAACATAATAACTTATACTACTTTCCAAAATTCACGAAAATTTGGTTATTTAATTGGTTATAAATAAAAAAACATTTTACACCTAAAAATTCTATCTCTCACTCTTAAGCCAGAAGCATCTCTTTGCTTTTATCTTACTAAATATGATAATCCTAATATGCCACTCTGTCTCAATGAACCACATATGAGAATATAATTTCCATTCATATATTTTTTGATAAATAAGATAAGATAAATTTCATTAATAGAAAACTAATGCAGTAACAAGCTTCCCATGGAGAGGCATGAGCTGCATCCTGTCCTAACAGCAGGAAGAAAGACAAAAGATAGAAAACAGATTCAGTCTACAATTGAGCCCAATACAAACTTTCCCTGTTTACCCCTTGCTTTGCAAGACCATCAGCCATAGAGTTTGCTAATCTCCCCATCCATTGTATTCTCACTGTCAAGCTCCTTATCAGGCAGTTGAATTTTTTAATTTCATTCTTAAAACACCACACTATAGAGTCCGGGTTTTGTAGCCAGCCCACTACCACCTCGGATTCCCCTTCTATTATCAATTGTTCCACACCTATCTGCACTGCTAGCTGTACTCCCTGGATAGAGGCTGCAACCTGCAAGTCCCATCCTAGTAGAGTTTCCAACTCCTATGGGTCCCAAGTAAATAAGAACCACATTCCCAGCCTCATTCCTCAGTACCCCTCCCACCCCTGATGAACCTGGATTACCAAGACTACTGCCATCAAAATTCAGCTTCAAGAAGCTTTCAGGAGGGGGTTCCCAAGCCATGCTCACTTTAGTCTTTATGGATGAACAATTAGCCACAGCTAACCAATTCCTCCAAATATCATTAAATGAGAATTCATGGAATAGGTCCAGTGATTTTAGCCACAGGATCACCCTATTTAGAATGCAGTCCATCTCTTCTAGACTTCTCTCCTCTTGGAAAATTCCGATATTCCTTTCTTCCCACACAGACCAGATCAGTGCTGCTCTTGCACACCTCCACATAATTCTTCCTCTTCTATGACGCCAAGGGAAGAAAACAGGATCAAAAATCAAACTTGCATCTGCTGGCCTAAACAACCTGCACCCAAACAATGAGAAGAGCCACTCCCATAACTCTGCAGTAAATGAACAAGATATTAGTAGATGGTTACAGTCCTCACCATACCTGCACAAGGTTTAAAATGTCGATGTCGATGGAAATGTCGCTTACCAAAATATAAGACATATGTCGGAAATGTAGAGCGGAAATATTGTAAAAATTAGAGACATTGTGGAAATATGCAATGATATTTTGTAAAATGATAAAAGAAGCATTAATACATATTTCTAGACTATTATCTTATTCCCAACCATTATATAAAGCTAAGAAACTAAGATCAATAACAAATTACTAAATGACGATTTACTGATTTATTATGCATTTTGATGTTTTTACAAGGTTATCTGATATTTTCTTTTCTTATTTTTAGTTCTGATTTATTATAAATTCTAATAAGTTTATTTCACACTAGTAAATAGAAATACATTTATTCTGATTTTTTAAATATTAAAGTTATAATACATTATGTTTTATTATAAATTTAATAAACTGATTCTCCTTTTTGTAGTATTAAGATTATGATAAATTCTGATTTCTTATAAAACTTAATGAATTTCTAATGATTTTTAATACTAAAYTTATAATAAATTATGATTTAGTATAAAATTTATTAAATTTATTCTGATTTTTTATATTAAATGTAGAATATGGTTTATTATAAAATTTAATAAACATTTTCTGATTTTAATAAATATTTTAAAAAATAATAACTAGTTAACATTTTATTAGTTGAAAAATATTTTATGTTTTATATTATAAAGTAATTAATTTATTCTTTTGTTTTTATATTTCGTTAATTCTTTTTATAAATATTTTATTTGAAATATTAATGGAATAATCTATATTAATATATTGTATTATATTAATATAATATGCTAATATATTATATTTTTAATGTACATTAGTCGACATCCTATCGACATTAGTTGACATCTTGTCGACATAATAGGAAAAACTGTATTTTTTTTTGTTATTTGGACCGATTTGGTCGACATTTCCGAAATAGAGGAAATGTCGACCGACATAATGTAATTTTTATATTACCATCCATTTTCAT